GAAAGACATCAAAGCAAAGTCAGCCAGGTGTCATACCATGTGTGCATAGTCCGAGCTACTTGGGAGGCTGAGGTGGGAGGATCCCTTGAGGTCAGGAGTTTGAGACTAGCCTGGGCAATTTGGTGAATCCCCTCTACAAAACATAAAAAATTAGCTGGGCGTGGTGGCATATGTCTTTAGTTTTAGCTACTCAGGAGGCTGAGGTGGGAGGATCTTGAACCCAGGAAGTCAAGGCTGCAGAAGTGAACTATGATTGCTTCTTCTAATAGCCATTGCACTCCACTCCAGCTGAGCAACACAGTGAGACCTCTCTCAGAAGGAGGAAGGAAGGAAGGAAGGAAGGGAGGGAGGGAGGGACAGAGAGAGGAAAAAGAAAGAAAGAAAGAAGGAAGGAAGGAAGGAAGGAAGGAAGGAAGGAAGGAAGGAAGGAAGGAAGGGAGAAAAAGGATTTTTTTTAAAAAAGACTAGAAAGTCATTTAGTTGATTCACGCTTTTTTTTTTTTTTTTTTTCGATCTGGGTGAGGCCCAGGAGCTGGGAACCTGGACAGAGCTCCGGCTCTCAGCTTTGCCCCTGCCCCCACCCTTTCCACTGACATTCTTCCATTATTCCTGACTGCTCCCAGGCCCACCCTTAATGAGAAGACAAGGCTCTCTGTCTCCAACCTGTCTCATTCTGGGCATCCTTCTACATCAGCCGGGCGGTCCTCATGTTAGTGACCCTATGGCTTGCCCATACCACAAGCCCAGAGCTTTGCAGACCAACACAGCCTCTGGGCTCATATGAGCCAGGAAGGTGGTGTGGATGGATCCTACGAGCAGGGGCCTGGGTCTGATGCTGGCTTGGACCCTGCCCACCCACCCACTCACCCAGGGGACCTCGGGCAAGCTGTTCTCTCCGAGCCTCAGATTTCCCATCTGCAGCAGGATGAGTTTGTGAGTAAAATAAAATGGTGCAGAAGAGGTGTGGGGTACCAATGAAGTGCATGGGCACTGGAGACACGGAACGAGTTCAAGCCCCAACTCTGCCACTTCCCCAATGGGAGCAGGTGCCTTAACCACACTGAGCCCCGGCCTTCTCATCTCTGAAACAGGGAGAAAAATAAAGCCCATCCCTGAGACAGACACGTAGGGCAACAAGCCCAGTGTGTGGACATTCTGGGCTTCCATGCAGGTGAACTATTACTGCCCTTGTTTTTGTTACTGCACTGAGTCAGAGCCAACATGAGAAACTGAGGTTTTTTTTTTTTTGGCTGGGAAGAAAACCAGGCTGTCAAAGCAATTATATCCTGCCTTCCCTGAGCTTTTAGACTTCATTCCAAACCTCCAAACAGGAAGAACAGAAGGGCTACAGGGTCCATTTACTCACTCAACACGTATTTAAGAGCCTACTATGTGCCAGGAGTTATTCTGAGTCAGGCAGTGAGCGCCCAGCACTTAACTATAGTAATCTGCAAGGAACCCCTTATCTCCCAAAGAGAGACAGGAGCGCTTGGGATTTAGATAAGAGGGAAAACAGGCAGCTCCAGGAATGCGGTTTTAAGGAGTTTACTTAGCAGGAGGATAAAATAGAGGGGACAGACTTGTGAAGTGTCAGCTTGGGAAGACAGGTCCCAGCAGGCCCATGGTGAGAGAGGAGATGTCTCCCAGGGCTGCCGCTGGGGAGACTGGGCACTCAGATAGAATCTGAGATAGGTTGAGGGAGTCTCCAAAGCCAGTGCCTCATAGGAAGATGGGACCTGCATCCCCCACCACAGGGGAGACCTGGGGGCAGGGAGAAGAGGCAGGTAGATGGGCACAGGGCACAGGAGCTGGGGTAACAATCCCCTTGCCTTCAGCAAGTCCAGCTTGGCCTCACACTGGACACCAAGTTCAGAACCTTACACGGACTGTCCCCCAGCCAAGGGAGGAGGGTTCCACTCTGCTCCCTATTTTACTGATGATGAAAATGACATCCTGAAAGCTGAAGAAGTGAGTCCAAGGCCACTCACATCAGGAAGCAGGGAGGGGATGGCATGCTGGTGAGGGGTCTGGGCTGAAGGAGGGTGGGGCTCTGGCAGAGATGGGAGGGGTGGGAAAGGGGATGCCAGGCAGAGGGAACCGCAGGAGTAAAGGCAGGAAGGCTTGAAAGGGTCCAGTGAGTTCCAAGAATGGCAAGACACTCAGGGTGGCAGGACACGAGCCCCAGCGAGACCAGTGAGCCTCGCCTGGCATGGTGTCCCCAGGTGGCACTCAGAAACGCAGCTGTGGTTGTTGTAGTGACGAGTGGGGCTTGAGAGCATACTTGCTCAATGCTGATGCCACAGAGGTGCCATCCCAAGCCCACCAGACTGCAGGACCCCAGGGCCACAGGTCTCAGCTTTTTGTTTGTTTGTTTTGAGATGGAGTCTCGCTCTGTCGCCCAGGCTGGAGTGCCGTCGCGCAATCGGCTCACTGCAACCTCCACCTCCCAGGTTCAAGCAATTCTCCTGCCTCAGCCTCCCAAGTAGCTGGGACTACAGGTACATGCTGCCACCAGCTAATTGTTTGTATTTTAGTAGAGACGGGGTTTCACCGTGTTGCCTAGGCTGGTCACGAACTCCTGAGCTCTCAGGCAATCCACCTGCCTCCACCTCCCAAAGTGCTGGGATTACAGGCATGAGCCACCGTGCCTGGCCGGGTCTCACCTTTTAAGGATTGTGAGGGCACAGTGACCATACTGAGTGCCACTGGCAGTTCATGGGCTGGAGCCGTGGGTGCAAAACACCCTGACTGGGCAGGACAGTCCCACACAAGAAAGAATTGTCCTATGTAAATGTGAATCATAACCTTGTTTAGAAAAAGTAATAGATGAGACTGATGATGGCACATGCCCCACAAGAACAACATATCCCAATGACCTCAGTTGAAGCGCGTTCCAGTGAGGCCGCATGATGAGGACATCGCCCAGGAGGAGACGAGAGGACCTGGCTGCATCAGTACCACTGAAAAAGATCTCAGGGTCACTGGGGACCTCGGGTTGAGTACAAGGAAGCAACAAAGGGCTCAGGCAAATCATTTGGGCCCGAAGCTTCACAACCGATTTATTTGGATAATCCCTCCCAGGCCTCCCTGCCTCAGCGCCTGGTTTCTCTAAGGATTTATTTTGTGAAAATGTCTCTCTCAACAAGTAAGTTATCCCAGCCTGAGCCGACGAGGGAATTCTTCTCTGTGTTCAAAACCACAAACCCCGGGCAGCCCTTCTGCGGCCCGGCAAAACTTTCTGCAGCGTCAGGTCATGAATCACTCATCGAATCCAAGAACGATTCCAGGCTAGGCCGGGCACGTGGGGGAGGGCAGCTTCCTTCTACTCCCAGCCTCTGGGCTGCTGCGCAGGCTCGGACCATCTTCTCCTGATCCTGATTCCCCGAGGGTCACCTGCCTGAGACCCCAGAAATGCCCAGACTGGGTCGGGTCTGATCATCCGTGCCAGGCCCTTTACACAGATGAATTCTTTGAGGCTGTGGATTGCGCAGGTGAGCCAGGTCTCGGTGGCTCACTTCAGAAAATGTGCTGAGAGATGGGGTGATGTGATGATATGGAAAAGGGGGCAGAGCTAAGTCTAGAAGCCAAAACCCTAAACAGGCTGGGCACGGTGGCTCACGCCTGTAATCCCAGCACTTTGAGAGGCCACAGCAGGTGGATCACCTGAGGTCAGGAATTTGAGACCAGCCTGGCCAACAAGGTAAAACCCTGTCTCTACTAAAAATACAAAAATTAGCCAGGTGTGGTGGCATGTGTCTGCGGTCAGTGTACTTGGGAGGCTGAGGCACGAGGATTGCTTGAACCTGGGAGGTGGAGGTTGCAGTGAGCCAAGATCATGCCCCTGCACTCCAGCCTGGTGACAAGAGTGAGACTCTGTCTCAAAAAAAAAAAAAGAATTAGCTGGACATGGTGGCACATGCCTGTAATCCCACCTACTTGGGGAGGCCAAGGTGGGAGGACTGCTTGGGCCCAGGAGCTTGAGGCTGCAGTGAGCTATGATTGTGCCACTGTATTTCAGCCTGGGTGACAGAGCAAGAACCTGTCACAAAACAAAAACAACAAAAACAAACTACACACGTTTTCAAAATAAATAAAATAAAAAATAGATTGAAAAGAACAACCCCGAGCATGCTTCGCTGTGCCAGGTGACTCAGGAGTGGGCACACTTGCTCACTACTGGTGTCCTCCCCAGCCTGCTAGACTACAGGACTCAGAGCCACAGGTCCAAACCGTGCAAGGACTGTGGGGGCACCCTGGTCTAGGGGTTCCCCCATCATGGCTTGAGAACACCTCTCTTCCTCCTCTCTGCCAATGCCAACCTTGAGGTTTCACCTCCCCTAGAAGTTTCTGCAGCAGAGCCCTGGCACATAGTCGGTCCTCAGTAAACGACTGTTGGATGCAAGGAATGAATAATGGTGACAATGACTAACAGCCTGCGGGCTCCGTAAGTGGCTACTGAATGAATGACTGGATAATGAATGAAACAGGAAAGCACACAGAACTTATATGTAGATCTGAATCCTGGCTCGCCATTTACTAGCTGGATGACTTCTGGGAAATTACTTTGCTTCTGTGAGCCTTGGTTTTCTCATCTGCAATGTGGGGATTAATGGTAGTAGCTACCACAGGCGCTCATTAGGAAGCTCCTGTGGGTACGGAACCAGCGGCGCTCAGCATAGCACCTGACACCCAGGCATACTCGGGGACAGAAACCATTATTCTCATGACCATCATCACTACGTGCTTGAGGGTTTGGGGAGCAAGAACATTTGGGGACTCCTGGCTTTGGAAGGACCATCAACACAGATGAGCACAGAGACAGGAATACTAAGGAACAAGAAAATGACAAAGGAAAAAGAGGAAGAGAAACTAAGACGAGGATCCCAAGTGAGCAAAGCCATCTGTGCTAAGAGGGGATGGATTGAGCCAGGTAGCTCCTAAGAATCCATCCAGCCTCTAAGTGGAGAATGCTCAGCTCTGAGATGAGTTGGGATTTTTTTATCTTTCAATGGTTGACTACATCTTACCTCAAGGTAGAGCATAACTCCAAGACCTTTGTGAGGCTAGGTTGATATAAGAGCTACCTGAGACCCATAACCAGTCTCATTCTAGGTTCTATCTAGTTTCAGAGGCATCTGAACAGCCTGTGCATCATGGTAACTTCCTCCTACTTCCAAGGTCTTGTGGGAGTGTCGCGCTGAGTTGTAAAAGCCTCTAGGATAGAGGAGGAAGTTATTTTTATGGGCAGACAATGTATTCATTCATTCCCTCATTCATAAAACACCAAACCAGGAGCCTGTTGGTAACAGACTCTGTGCTAGGCACTGGAGGCCCAACGATGAAGAAGACAAGAAAGTCCCGACACTCCAGTTTAATTGGGGAGGGTTATGTAGACAAAATTAGCCATACCTTGGTGTTATAAGAATTGTGAATCAAAGCCTGAGGATAAGTAGAAAGCAGGATATACCAAGGAGGGGACATTCGAGTTGGGCCTTGAAGGATGAGTAGGAGTTCGCCAGACAGAAGTGAGAAGGGCATTCATTCTAGGTAGCAGTTGGGGCCTGAATGAAGATCTGGGGCCATGGGAGTTTATAACATGTATGTATGTATGAAACCTAGAATTTGTGGATGAGAATGATATCCACCTAGAGTTTGTGAGGCGAGGACAGACAGACAGGGCCTCAGGGGCCAGGTCAATGAGCAGCTGTTTGACCTTGATTTTTTTAGATAAGGAGCCCAAGGTCTGAGCAGGAAGGTAATGTGGTCTCAGCTGCAGTTTAGAAGACTCAGGGTGATGCTCTGGGGGTTCAAGAGTCACCGAGATGGTCCAGGAGGGGCAGGGAGAAGCCTCGAGGTCAGGTGGTGGCTGTGGGAACAGAGGCAGGCAGCAGCTGAATGGCCAGGGCCAGAGGGAGGCACAGCTGTAACGGACTGTGCGCTCTGGCCCGCGGTGGGGGCAGAGTGGGGGGGTCTCCTGAGGAGCACGAGGCAGCCAGACATGGAAGCTGAAGCCCTGGATGACCGGCCCTAGCTTCCTGTCAGGCCAGTGGCTGGATTCGTAGACACCTGAAGGCTTGTGGGAGTCCCAGGCTCTCCACTGTGTCCTCCCTTCTGAATCCACCCAGAGCGCCATGGCCAAGGTGGCGGCGGATCTGAGCCAGTCGGTCTCCCCTCCTCCCCGCTCCGCCAGGGAGGGGCCGGCTGAGCCCTGCGTCTCCATTGGCCCGAAGCTCCATTATCCGGGTGACCCCCTGCCGCCGCCCCACAGTGCGCTGGGAAGAAAGGCTCCTCTCTGACAAGAAAGCCCCTTTGCAGGCGGGGCCCCGGGTCTGGGCAGCGCCTTTATCCACAGTGACCCTGCCACAGTGTCAGCGGCGCAAACACGCCGCGCTGCGGAGGCTGCCCCCACCCCCAACGGCCTCGTGCTGAAGCCGTGAACGGGCCCCCTCCAGGGCCTCTGGGAACCAGCCCGCGGCCGGCAGGCCCCACCGAGGCTCCCAGGCTCCTTCCCACCCCCCCAGGGAACACAGTGACTGAGGCGCGTCTGTGGGGTGGGGGCTGCCAAACGAGCCCCGGCGCAGGCATTGGGAAGGGGGCCCCGTGGAAGTCTTTGTCCAACCTCCAGAATGATTTGGGAGGAAAGTTGAAGGGGAGAGGCTTTTGTGCCTCTGGGCCCAGCACCGGGCCTCATTCCCCACACCAGCCAGGCAAGAGGGGCCTCCTTGTCCCCACACGTTCCCCCATACCAGCCTGATCACTCCTCACCAACCCCCTTCCAGGTACAATCTTGCCAAAGAGGAAAGGGCAGTCTCCTGTAGACCTCCGCGTGTGTGATGCACTCTCTTCCACAGCC